ATATTTAAATCTAAGGAATGTCTGATATTTAATACTGATTTACATTATCTAATAACGTAAAAATATCCTGAGGAAAAATTAACCACGAAATGTATACTAAGATGTTTTCTCAATTTTCACATAAAAAATACAAGTAACTTGCAAAAAATAAATTACTTAAATAAGCACAGATAATAATGTAAATAACTTGTATTCCAAACACGGCAAAGTTAATAGGCATAGGATTATACATTTACATAGTTCTTCTAAACATACACTAAATCTCATTCACATAAGCCTGGCTGATTGACAAACACATAATGCCCTTTTGCATAAGAGCAGACAGAACAGGGAAGAATATATCTTAGAGATGCAATCAGAGAGAAAACAATGAACGACTGTGGCTACTTATTCAAGTTTTGACACTAGCTTATATATGTGTAATTCCATACATGAGATGTACAATATGTAAATAAAAATGTGAAGCTAGCTCGGTGTAACAAAGAGCTAGAAAATTTTTTAGATATAAATTTATACACTGAAATAGATAAAAACAAAAATTAAGATAAAATTTAGATTAAAATAATCTATTTCAAAGTCTTCAACATCATCAACAAAACACTTGAGCATTTAACAAATAAAAGGTCCACTTAAATTACTACCGACACAATGTAGAACCCAGTATTTAATGAATAATTAGTCTTATTGACTAAATTTAAAACATGAAGAAAATCTAAAATGAACAAATTTGTGTTCAAACTAAGTACACTTCCACTTAAATCTGTTTAGTTCTACTAATTCTACTCTTAATTTTGAGACTCAACTACCTCACGTGAAATTTGATTTATATTCCATTATTTCTGAAATTTTATTTATGTGTACAAGCAAAATACCATCTCTTTTAAAGTTCATTTGATTGAATAAGACAAATTTAAAAAGAACAATTCTGCCAAACTTCTTTTAAAAACACAGTATCTGCTGCAGAGGAGGGAGCTGGTAGTGATAATGGTGACTGAAGCCATAAAACTGTCTTGAAAAGGATTTTGTTTAATGTGTATATATACACTCTCGCTAGGTAACATTAAGAATTTCAGTATCCTCAATCTGGAAATAAGAGACTTCTGTTATTCAAAAGGAAAACAAAATGTCACAAAGTAGAAAAAAACACAATGTTAATTTCATCAAGTAAAAAAAAAAAGTGCAATCTAATAGTAAGTTTCAACGAAGAGAAACCCTTAGAGATATTTATATTCTAAATGGTTTTACAGGAAAAAAAAAGTCAAATAAAATCAGAAAACAACAGTTTTGTGGTAGGCCTTTAAACATTGTCTTACAAGCTTCAAATTTCAACCATTAATAATTGTTATTCAATAATCAAGGACACAAAAACAAATTCAAAATGTTCTTACAACACATAGAAGAAACTACATTTTTTTTTTTTTTGGTAGAGACAGTGTCTCACTACAGCTGCTCAGGCTCATCTCAGTTTTTGATATTTAAAAGAACCCAGATTTTAAAGACTGGACACTATCCATTTTTTTCTGTATTTTTTCATTATTTCCCCAGAGTAACAGTCTATAAATAAACTGATGGATATTCACTTAGGAAATGGTACACATACTTCATTTTACAACACTACAAAAACAAGTGAACACAGAAAAATAATTTTAATTTTTAAAATTCAGTAATGAAGGCTGCTAGAAACAAAATTCTCTTATAAAGTATAAGGCGACTCCCAATTTATTTAATCATATGATTTGCTTAGAATGAAATATTTCCATACTGGGCTACATAACTTAAGAGGTGGACTTTTTGATTTAAAGAAAATGAATCTTCGACAGTATGAAATTAACCAAAATATGTTATTTTTAGAAGGTATATGTTGAAACATTTACGGAGAAGTAACATCAAGCCTGCTACTTACTTTGAAGTAGTTTCCCATCCCCCCAAAAAGTCCATGCCTACAAATAGCTATCAACACAGGAAAACACAAACAGCTGTTGAATTAGGAGATATGTATATGGGTAGTTTACTGTCTTATTCTTGAAAATAAGAAGTCTGACTTGTATCACTGCTATCCTCTGACACATCAGGAATACATTTTAACCCATTAGATGTTGTAACAAAACTCTGAACACCTACACAAAACAGTAAATACTACCTTATTCCCCAGGAATCTTTCCCCATTTTTTCCAAATGATGTAGTCCATTTATTTTTCACTAGTATTACCTGACACTGTATTCTCAACCCTTTTTAAAGTTTTTACCATAATTTGATCACATTCTTACACAAAACTTACTTGATTTCAATCACATATATATCCTTTTTCTCATTCAGGATCTATGTTGTAATTATCAACCTAACCCCCATTTACTAATTAATGACTACTTATTCACATTGTTATTGAGCAATTACAGACTCTATATATAAGCATGAAGTTACTGAAATATTCAACAAGTATGTTTCTGAACAAAGTGTAAAGTATTAATTCAACTAGTGTTTGAAAAACAAGAGCTAAAGTTTCAATCACTGTCCTTGTTGATAATTCCCATTCTTATTAAATGGCAATTCTAGCTAAAACAGATATTGTTCCCCTAATATTACTGATATTTCAGGGTTAAAAATATTTAATCTCACTGAATGCTCAGCACTGATTTTACACAGAAAAATTAAAAAAAAAAAAAAAAAAACCTCAAGGAAAAATAGCATATTGAATTTTGTAAAACACAAGTGAATCAGTTTTTTAAAATCTGCATCTGTCAAGAAAAAAATATATGCATTTATTTACAAAATAAACAAAAATGGGGAAAATTCCCACAACATATAGTGCTAGAATAAAACCATTAAGAAAGCAGATGTTCCTTTATTTTATACATATTACAAATAGCAAATGAAACGTAAGTCCTGAAGACTTTAAACTCAGTACTTTAAATCATGACATAAACTATCATAATACTATTATGTATTAAAACTGTTTCATATTAGTTTTTATGAAAAAAATGATAGCATGTATGACCACACTTACAAAACTAACACTACTAGATTTCCTCTTTATTTTTATATCTACCACTTTTAAGCAGATGATATTTAAAAATCTTTCTCGGTATACTAATTCACAAGAAAAAAAATTGACTGAACCAGCCACAAAGTTTAACTATACAAAAAAACTAAAAACACGGAATAACTAGGAGTTCAGAGACGCTCCACTTGTCTGTCACTCAGAAGCTGACTGTTCCCAGGGTAAACTTGGTAAAGCCGGAACAAGGATTTTCTTGATGCTGGGGTAAGTTGTGTAGAACTCTGTTCTTGGTGCCAGAGTTGAGCCTGGACACTAGGATGTTCAGGAGATTAAGACATCTTTTTGTGCACTGGCTTTCAAATGTTCTTGAATGAATCATACAGAATTTCACAGCCTTGGCCAAAGGTAGCTTGGTATAGCATCAAAGGATCAAGTTTCTCCCAATCATATTTCAGCTTTGAAGTGAAATAAACAAGACTAAAAATTACCTGAGAATTATATGAATAAAATATAGATGACGGGAAAGGTAGGCTTAAGTGCAACAGATTATTACTGAAAAACTGTAATCAATGTTAAAACTCCCCATACCCCAATTAAAGTCACAAATTAAAGCAAATCCCGCTCTCCATCACCTCATACTTATGAGAAACATGAGTCTTTGACTATTATCTTACAATCTCCAAATCATGTTTTCAAAGGACTGTCAGAAACAGAAGCCTATGAATACTGCAAATTTTAGAAAATAATTCCATCCACACTGTGTGTTTAAAAAAATAACATGAAAGAATATGTATGAAAAATTTAATTGGTGTAAAAGAATGCAACAATTATGCTTTACAACCAACTGCTTTTATGTAAAATTTAAATTAAAATTATTTCTTTCTAAACTATGCCTTCCAGCAAAACAGAAACCACTATTTACATGCTGTTTATTTTAAAATAGCTTATTATCTTTCAGAAAGGTGCTGAAAGTATGATATAGTAAACCACTGTAATGTTTTGTGAAAAATAACTACGCTATGATCAGTGTCTGATGAATTAGATTTGTGGTATAAGACATTTATGATTCCTTAAATACAATTTTTTTTTTTTTTTTTTTTTTTTTGAGACGGAGTTTCACTCATGTTACCCAGGCTGGAGTGCAATGGCGCGATCTCGGCTCACCGCAACCTCCGCCTCCTGGGTTCAGGCAATTCTCCTGCCTCAGCCTCCTGAGTAGCTGGGATTACAGGCACACGCCACCATGCCCAGCTAATTTTTTGTATTTTTGGTAGAGACGGGGTTTCACCATGTTGACCAGGATGGTCTCGATCTCTTGACCTCGTGATCCACCCGCCTCGGCCTCCCAAAGTGCTGGGATTACAGGCTTGAGCCACCGCGCCCGGCTCTTAAATACAATTTTAAACAAACATGACCAACATACAAAGTTTTAAACATAGCTATGACTTTTACAATTAAATATTATTATAGTGTGATAAAATCAGTTTCTCCCTAGTATTGAAAATCAAAATTCAAAATAGGTATTTGATAGTAAAGGGAGCTATTCAGATTCCAATGACTCTAGCCATTCTGAAGTAATTCTCTGCTCTTTAAAATCACCTCTTGCTTGGGTGTCTCAGCATTATCTTGAAAAAAAACAATTAAAAAAAAAAAAAAAAAAAAAAACACTGCCATTCCTTGGAGAAAAATGATCCTAACCCATCAGGTAGGTTTTACCAGAGAAATGTCCAAACTTCGGGGAAATATTTACAACACTGCAGTCAAGTCATCTTTTGATACTCCTAGAAACCTCCATTCTCAAATGCCTAATTCACCACAAATCACACAGCAAATCCTCACTTAACAGCCAACCCAATAGTATTGTTTTATTTTAAAGAATGTTTAACACTAACTGTACAATAATAATTGGGTAAGATCTAGATATTGAAACCAAATAAATAATGGCAGATATGTTTAAAGCTAGACATTTTTTATAAGCCAAAGAGATTTGCCTTCAAACAGTTTTTTTCAAGATGAAAAAGATTTATTCAGAAAAATCAGCACAGGACAAAGATATCCTCAATAATCCGTGTCAGAATACCTGAATATTCAGAATCTACATGAAACGTAGGCGGCAATTCCGAGTTCACAGAACATCAATGGTTTATACAAATAAACTCCCGTACCCTCCCACCCCCACATATGCTACTCTAGCTACCCCTTATTGACATCAGCTTTCATTAAGCTTCTATCTTCAGTGCTACTTGCACAAATTATAAAGCAAAATCATTTTCATTTTTAATGACTAGGATTAGTTAAAGCAACCAAAGCATTATTGTTACAGCAAAGTTTAGTAAGACCATAAGAGAATACCACTAGTAACAGTTTTAAATTATCGAAAATGATTTCTTTATTGAGATTAAGTAACTACATAGATTTCACAGTACTATGGAATACTTATATTTAGCTGAAGTCACAAACACATTTCAACATTCAAAATGATGAGCATCATCATTACCACTCTAATCTACAAAGCTTATGAATAAAGAAAAATACAAAAACCTTAAGTTTTACAAAAAAAAAATTTAAGTCTACATACATTAACAATAAAACCATTTCTTCCAGGTAACAGATAAAAGTATAAAGGCATACCACTGACTTTTTTTTTTCCTAGACAGCCAGGAATGAACGAATGTTTAATATCTACGGCGCTTATTAGGGCCTTCAAAGTTGCCCCCTTGACTTCCTCTACCAAAGCCACCAGGACCACCACTCACAGGACCTACACCACTCATTGGTGCTTGAGGGGTTTCAGAACCTGTTCTACTCCCCATAGGTGAACCCATCTGAGATGGCGGTCCTTGAGGAAATCTGTCATTGTGCTATAACGCCACACAATAAGGAATAGAATATGAAGTCCATTTGGAACACGCCAAATATAAGTGACAAGAAAATTGGCAAAATCCCAAGTGGTGGTGTCATGAAGTTCGGCAGAAAGTCCAGCAGAATCAGGATCACACATAGAAGGAAGAAAGGAGCAATTTAATTAGTTACTGTGTTGTTTTTTTTTTTTAAATGCAGCATCTGAAGATTTATTTACATATTGCTAATGCTATGCCCCAATTTCAAGAACAAAGAACTGATTTCATGACAGAAGCAAATGTCATCTTAAGCCTCATCAATATTAAAATAAAGCTCTGACTCCTTTTTCAAAAGTTTATATTGTACGAAACTATGCTATTTAAGAAAAATACTTTTTTTAAAAAAAATCAGAGAAATAAAACTGGGGAGCAGCATCACATTCTGTCTTTTAAAAGTAAACACTCTAAAAAAAATTTACATCAATTCCTTGAAGACAGAAAGCACTAATACAAACATACACAAAGAATTATGATTTCAGTATGGAAACTTTTGAGAGTTTTCCTTGAAAGACTATCATTGGGAAAATAGTTTTAAAAATTAATGTAACAGTAAGTACTAATAGGCACAATTAAATATCTGAATTAAATATTTTGAAAAATTTCACAATAATCATACCTATTAATCTCAAAGGTTGGACAGAACTTCCTAACGTGTAGCAGTAAAATGTCAGTGCAAACAAGACCAAAGGTAATATTCAAATAAAGTTTATAAGTTCAGGGAGACAATAAAAAAAAACGGGACAGTAAATGTTACTTCTATGTCTCTATTGATGATTATATACCACACAAAAATTTAACCAAAGTAGTGTAAGTTTTTACTAGCTTTCAAACATATTGCTATAAAATAAAGCCTCTACTGAAGGAAACAAATGCAATCACTGTGTTAGGTGCCATCTGTTCACGGTAGACGTGCACTGCGCCTCTTTATCTTCTGTATAAACCAGCATTTTAAAAAATCCACTGCCAGCATGTCCAATTTCTCCAAATTCTTAAAAGACTACATTTGAAGCAAATAAATGGATAAACGCTGCATTCAACTCTAAATACATACAATGCATTGCTTTTAACGTCTCTGATCACGAAGAATTTACAACTGATGACACATCTGCATCTAACTGGCAGTGCTTTTTCTTTCTTAGCAACATTGGCGCCTCAAGATTTCATATAGTAGTTACAAAATGCCTTTTCAAAACAGATAACCAACCAATTTCCCTTTCAAAATGTTACTTAGAACAAGCATTAACAAACACTAAATGAGAAAATGGTTTGCCTATATAAAGTCCCATTTATATAGTGATAGACTTTAATGGAAATGATAAAAGGTATCATTTTTGCTATTGATATATTTAAATATAGTAAAAATTACAACTGAAAAACCTTGTTTTTATAGTATTTGATCCACACAAAGATATCTTCACACTCTCATATCAAGACAAAAAATTGTCAACTCTAAATTTAATAAGTATAATTTAAAATTCTGTCAAAAGAAAGTCACATTGCTGGTTTAGAAATACACAAAAACTTTAATGCTAATTACTTTATAACTAAAGTCTGCACTAAATCATGACAGGTAATATTTTTGTCAAAAATATTTACTGAAACTGTGTGTTCATACATACTGGACTTTTGTCCTCACCAAACAGAAGGAGTCCACACAGGAAAAGAACACCATAATAAAATACTTTAACATTAGAATGCTGGTAAACAATGGATACAAATTAAAAGCACAGAAAAATAACTGTAATTAATATATGTATATGCTATACACTAAGGTACCAAAGCATGCATGGACAGTAATCCTAATTCTTGAACTACTTAAAAAGTCTAAGTTAATCAATGTAAGATGTCACAAAATTTTCTTCATTGGCTGCCAGAACAAATGATACCAAATTATATTAAGTGTGAAGTTATCCTTGGGGCAGAAGTGTACATTACTGAATATAATCAAAATAATGTTTATGATACATTACCACTGCTCCATTATCTGGCATCATTGGAGTTCCCATATTTGCGGCTCCTTCTGGTCCCATGGCAGGACCAGGACCCATTGGTGGGCCAGGTATAGTTGCTCTGTTGTTCATATTCATACCCATCATTGGAGGAGGACCTTGGTTACCAGCAGGTGCTGGGCTAAACGCATCTATGTAAAACAATCTATACTTAGAGCTGTCCTATCTTAGTTTAGTAAACATTAAAAATTTAACAATATTTATGCAATCTATATAGCAAGACCATTATCAAAATTATTTTCTCTGCTTGAGAATGGGATCTGCATTATCTACTCTGTAATACAGCATAACTTACACTCTAGAATTAGAATTTTCATCTCCAAGCCAAATGTACTAAAAATCAATGAGGAAACTATCAATTATTTAAGGGCATTTGAGACTGTAACAGTTTGCAAGTTTTGAGACATAACTATTATTTGTTAGTCTGCTTTTAAACCAAAAAATCCCTAAAAATGGAGGATTAGCACTTACGAAACCACTTTATTTTTTTTAAGCCATGGCTAAAAATATTAGCATGTAAATTATGCTAGGTTGCCAGAGAGAAAATCATTTCCTGCAATATATAAATAAAGATCATTTTAACTAGCCTCTCACCTTAGTTTCTTTTTTTTTCCTCCTGAGTGTATGGAATACCTTGCTCTAAATTACAGGAGGAACTTTTTTTTTTTAACTTTTTATATTGAAATATGGAATCTACACAAAAATACTGAAATGAACTTATTTTTAAAAGTAACAGCAACCAAATACAGATAAAATATTAATATAGCATCTGGATCTTTCTGACAAGTTTAAATTCCATAATAGGGAACAATCTGATATATTTCAAGTTTTTTCATTAAAAAATCCACCTACCTCATACTAATTTTAACAGTGTTTGCACTTTAATACTACATATACGATGCGACACATTTTTAGGTATTTTCTTTGAAAGTTTTTTCCCTAAGTGTTAGTACTTGTTTAACATAAAAAATTCACAACAGGCCGGGCATGGTGGCTCACGCCTATAATCCCAGCACTTTGGGAGGCCGAGGCAGGTGGATCACCAGGTCAAGAGATCGAGATCATCCTGGTCAACGTGGTGAAACCCTGTCTCTACTAAAAATACAAAAATTAGCTGGGCATGGTGGCGCGTGCCTCCCAGCTATTCGGGAGGCTGAGGCAGGAGAATTGCTTGAACCCAGGAGGCGGAGGTTTGCAATAAGCCGAGACTGCGCCACTGCACTCCAGCCTGGGTAACAAGAGTGAAACTCTGTCTCAAAAAAAAAAAAAAAGAAATTCACAACAGGCTGGGCACAGTTGCTCACGTCTATACTCCCTAGCACTTTGGGAGGCAGAAGCAGGTGGATCACCCGAGGTCAGGAGTTCAAGACCAACCTGACAAACTTGGAAAAACCCCATCTCTACTAAAAATACAAAATTAGCCAGGCATGGTGGCACATGCCTGTAATCCCAGCTACTAGGGAGGCTGAGACAGGAGAATCGCTTGAACCCAGGAAGCGGAGGTTACGGTGAGCCAAGATTGCGCCATTGCACTCCAGCCTGGGCAACAAGAGTGATACTCCATCTCAAAAAACAAAAAACAATTTAGGGTTTTCTTCTAGTATTTCATTATATAGGTCAATTTTCTGACAGTAAGAACTCAGCTTCTCAAATATACATTATAAAATGGAGTTTTCATTCAAACCCACAACTCTGCACACTACCTAATGCAGGTGAAATCTCTATATGGCTGAGTCCAGGGAGCAGCTGAGTAGCAGTCTGATTGCCTACCAGCCCCTGGCATCATACTTTTGTTCTTTGAATCCAATCCCTAGCAACCTAGCAACTTCATAGAAAGGAATTATTTCCTTCAGCCCATAATGTTCTTGCCGATAAATATACTTTATCCAAGAATATTTCCACTACTTCAGGATAGCCCTAAATAGCTCTTTCTTTCCCCACCTTTTTTTTTTTTTTTTTTTGTTGTTTTTTTTTTTTTGAGGAGTCTTGCTCTGTCACGAGGCTGGAGTGCAGTGGCACAATCTCGGCTCACTGCAACCTCCGTCTCCTGGGTTCAAGTGATTCTCCTAACTCAGCTTCCCGAGTACTGGGATTATAGGCGTGCACCACCATGCCTGGCTAATTTTTTTAGTTTTAGTAGAGACAGAGTTTCATTGTGTTAGCCAGGATGGTCTCATTCTCCTGACCTAGTGATCTGCCCACCTTGGCCTTCCAAATTCCTGGGATTAAAAGGCCACCATGCTCAGCCTAAATAACTGCTTTTAATAATTTCTACAATCTAGAAATGAAGAGAGTATAAAAACAGTATCTAAGAGGCATCTTACCTCAACTATCCCCCAGGAAACAAATTAAGTTTCTTTTTCCTCTCTTTGATAGAATGTAATTTTACAATGGTGGCTTTGGAAAATAACTATACAACTATGGGTATAAAAAAATCAAAAATAATATACCAAACTAACAGTAGTTAACTAAGAGCCTTACTTTTAGTACTCACATCTTCTACCACATAGCTATAAATAAATTTTAAGATCTAAGAAATGTTAGCATTATCTGGTTACTTGAAAGGTAGCATTATGATGTTATGTTTCACTTTTTTACGCTCTAGTGATACACCAGAAAATCTGCTGCCACTTTCCATCAATGTAATTTGATGAGATTATGACGGTTTTACCTCCTCAACAATTTAACTGAATTATAATGATTAATAACTCTAAAAAACCTATGATTAAGTCTCACATTGAATGAAGACTGAAGAGAAAATTAGATGAACTAGAGACTGAGAGTAAATGCTAAAATGTAAATAGGTTCTCTGGTGAATAAAATGTCACAAAAACATTTAAATTCTTTTCAATTCCTAACTAAGGACTCTAAAAACATATTCTTATATTTCTTCTAATAAAATAACAGGGTTATCTCTGCACCATCAGAAACGGTTTTAAGTTTTATACTATTTTAAAGTTTAGCTCTGATGTTAATGTCACTCTAATAACGACAAGGGCCTTTTAAACTGCCTATAATCTATAATAACCTTATTCTTAAAATCCTCGAAATTACATAGATTATGTTAAATACCATCCCAGAATTTATTCTAAAAAACAGACATAAATATTGGACCACTTGGACATTAATATACTCAATTATGCTTCTTCATTTAGAACGTAGACACTCTTGGTTCATTATTTCATGTATCCACTGCTGTAACTTCACAATTAAGTTCTTAATGGGCAAGGGCCATGTTTCTTGCTTCCTGCGTATACCAGAGATATTCACTAACTACTTGCTGGTAAAAAGTGACAAAGTGAAGAGTAATATATGACTCTATATTATCTGATTAGTTTTACTGAAAAACTGGCAAGAAAAGTTTAAGAAAAAAAGGTGATCGTGGAAAATGTTCATTCCACACATGACATGTTTTAAGTTTCATTTGATAGACCATATATGCTAAGAAGATACTTGATTTTGTAAATGGATGTGCACATTAAGTACATTGTTTGCCATGGTAGTGCAATCTTTAAAACAATATGTACATTTAAGTTATATAAAGATTTTTGCTTCATGACAGCTTTTGTGGAACAATGCAATGTGAGACAGCTTTTTATGGGGCAAATAATTTAACAAAATTTAATTCCTTACCCAACTTTTAAATGTATGACATTTCAGATTTCAAATTTATTAAGGCCTACGATATGCCACATTTGTTTTTCCTTCAGGTTATTTACTTGGCATTATTTCCCTTGCAATTGGCTATACAAGTAAATCCATACTAAAGCTGCTAATATAGGCACTTCCTTAAAAACTCTGCCAACTCTAAACCATGCATTGGTGACATACATGTAATGCCCTTGATAAGTCATAGTCTCTGAACAGCGAGTGCACTTCTGTGCACAATACTGCAGGTTAAAAGAAAAAAAGTTCAATATTCGTTAAAGGAAAACAGCTTTAAAGTTATACAAAAAGCTAGTTTAAGGTAGAAATGTATAAAATACTCTCTAAGAGCTTAAAAACACAACTCAGAAACTATCAATTTCCAAAGGTAAAAAAGCCAATTAGGATAGACGAGGTGGCTCACGCCCATAATATCAGCATTTTGGGAGGCTAAGGCAGGAAAATTGCTTGAGTCCCGGAGTTTGAGAGCAGCCTGGGCAACATGGTGAAATCCCATTTCTACTAAAAATACAAAAAATAAGCCAGGAGTGGTGGTGCACACCTGCAGTCCCAGCTACTTGGTGAGGTGGGAGGATCACTTGAGCCCAGTAGTCGAGGTTTCAGTGAGCAGAGACTGCGCCACTGTACTCCAAACTGGGCAATAAAGTGAGGTCCTCAAAAAAGAACCAAAGCCAATTAGAAAGCACAAAATTTGATTTTAAAACTACAAAGACAGAGCTGTATTACACCATACAATGACTAAACTAGTTTCAAGCTGTATTCCACCTGGTTTATATGTTTCTTTCATTAAGCCTATGAATGTATAACACATCTTTCAGCCTTAAAACAAAAACGAAATGAGAATTTTCTTCCCAGGCATTTATTTTTAATATAATTGTATTGTATTCCAGTTTAATGGATGTAAGAGATTTCACCTTTAGAAATGTTGGTTTTATAATTTTAGTTTCTTACTGATATGTAGATACCACAAACAGCATATACAGTCCCCCCAACAATAAGTTACAAAAGCCTTTTGCTTCAAATCCCTACCTCCCATGTTTATTGCTCCACGGGGACCCATATCACCCATTCTCATTTCCTGTTCTCTCTGTAAGTAAACATAGTTGTCACAGTCAACCTATTGATCTTATGACTTTACATTTCCCATCTAAAATTAAAAAAAAAAGAGTGAATTGGGACATCATTTTCCGTTAAAAATTTTGAAAAATTTCCATCATCACATACTTAAGAACACTGAAAAGAAACTTCAGTCTCCCAGGCTTAATACACTATAAGTACTTAGAGCACCCAGTTTACACTGCAAGATTAGATTACCAATGAATCAGATTATATAAAATCTACCACAGGTTACTTTCAATGTGTTTATTCCAATAGATGAAAGACATATGCCTAGATTCCAAGCAAAAGAAAATCTAGTAATAATAACCACCAGGGCCAATTATTTTTTCCTCGCAGGTCGCTGAAGTCTTAAAATAGAAATGACCATTACCAAGTTCCTATTGAAATGTATTCAAACATATAACCACAAATAGCTTTAGGGAATTCTGCTAAATATAAAGTTATAGACAACATTCATTGTCTAAATGTTACAATTCATTTGTGTATTTTTATTCATCTGCTCAAGCATTATTCCATTAAGGGACTACAGATAGCCCATACAAGCAATTATTGAAAGCTCGACACAGCGTTGCTTTAACTGAGCAGTAATTTTACTTGAAAACCTGAATTAAAGTATTACACAGTTAATTATAGAACAGAAATATTCAAAACATTTGAAATTTCATTACAGAAACTGCTTCCTAAAAACTCTTCATTTACCAACAATAGTTACATAGAATTAACTTCCATGAAATCTCTAAGTAAAATTACTCAAGATAACATATGAAAATTGCAATTTTCACTTTGACTTGATGACCATTTCCAGTAACAGAAAACTGTGTTAAATGTAGCAATCATGAAAAACATTCCATTATGAGACAAAAGCAGCAATGTTTAAAGAAAGTATAATTACTGTACTTTTGAAAAGCCTATCTTATTAAAAGCTAAATGTTCACTTACAGTTCCATTTTATAATACAAAATACTGTTGAAAAGCACCTATAAAGCTGGAAATAAAGAAAATAAAAGCCTATGATGGAAACGTAATTGCCATTAAGTCACAAACGACTCCTTTAAAAAACCACCTAACTTAAAAAATAGAGATGCCCTGGCTACCACAGTCCATTCTTGCACTGTAGTTATTTAAAATTTAAAAAAAAAATAGAGATGCCCAAAGGTAATCTTTATGAAGCTAGGGTACAATGAATAAAGCTGTTATACTCAAAGACACCATCATGAAGAGATAAAATGCTTTCTCTCACATTAGAACATTAAAATACCAATCTTCCTACAAGCTTCTTTTAAAAAAATTTTTCTTAAGAGATCTTTGCTCTGTCACCCTGGTTGCAGTGCCGTGGCATCATCATAGCTCACTGCAGCCTCGAACTCCTGGGCTCAAGTGATCTTCCTGCCTCAACTTCCCAAATAGGTGGGACAATAAGCATGCACCATCATGCCTGGTGAATTGTTTCATTATTTTTTGGTAGAGATGAGGTCTCTCTATGTTGACCAAACTGGTCTCTAACTACTGGGCTCAATCGATCCTCCTGCCTCAGCCTTACAAAGTGCTGGGATTACAAGGGTGAACCATCAGGCCCAGCCTAAAAGCCATATTTTCACTTTCCTAAAAATAAATTTCTCATCATAAAATTTTTGGCCATTAACGGATATTATTACTGACCTGCAAAAAAAGCTAAACTGAGGCCAGACTTGGTGGCTCATGCCTGTAACCCTAGTACTTTGGGAGGTGGGCAGATCACCTGAGGTCAGGAGTTTAAGACCACCCTGGCCAACATGGTAAACCCCTGTCTCTACTAATAATACAAAAAAATATTAGCCAGACAACAGTGCCGCATGCCTGTAACCCTAGCTACTCAGGAGGCTGAGGCAGGAGAACTGCCTGAACCCAGGAGGGAGAGGTTGCAGTGAGCCTGGGCGACAAGAATGAAACTCTATCTCAAAAAAAAAAAAAAAAAAAAAAAAAAAGGCTAGACTGTAAGGTAAAAATGGCTACTCATCAAGTATTATATTTAAAAAATTATTTTAAAATAAAACATCACTCCTTTGGATAAATCAAATTGCCATTTGTTTATCACTACTTAGAAGCTACTGATTAAGTTCTTAGAACCTACTGATCAAAGTGAGGAATGCTTCAACATACCCAAAATCTTTTAGCTATAAAAATAGTATCTATAGCATCTAGGTAAGTATCTGTTAACGAGTAAATATAGTAGATATTTTGTTGTTGAGAAGCTGGTTACACACCAGCATCACTGAGTAAAATACAGGGATTTTATAATCATGACTTTTGGGGAACACAGGAGTTCAATTTATACTTTTACTTTTGAATTTGTCTTCACAATGAAAGATTAGGAGTTCAATATCTAACCACTAATACAGGGTAATTATTTACAATCTCGCTGCTTGAGATTTCAATATATATACATATACCCCTTATATATACCCTAATACCTTAACTATTGGTCTATGATTCCACGGCAGGGAAAGGGGGCATAAACAATCTTTATTGTCTCTTTATATTTTCAGCTCTATGTATCACTCTCTAGAATAACTTTCTAGAATAGTATGAGCTTTATTATTCACAAAAAACCCATTGTCATTAAGAGAATTTCATGGGAAATGTATCAATGTACTGAAAATATCTACGGTTTTAAGTCAACTATTAAATACAAATATTCCCCTTCTGGTGGTGTTTTATAAATCAATACAAGTTCTAAAACACCTTTCTCTAAATGAGATAATCGAGCATCTTAGAATAATTCATGCTACTACAGCATATTACTGTATTAAAATACCAATTCATGAGGTATATTACAGCGTTTCTCACTAAATACATATATATATATTTGTATTTAGTAATGTTGACAGTATCTTAAAGATGATTACTAAATACTATTTTATACAGCTTTGCTCTTAAGACAGTATAATTTGATGACATCTTTTTTTTTTTTTGAGACGGAGTTTCGCTCTTGTTACCCAGGCTGGAGTGCAATGGCGCGACCTCGGCTCACCGCAACCTCCACCTCCTGGGTTCAGGCAATTCTCCTGCCTCAGCCTCCTGAGTAGCTGGGATTACAGGCACGCGCCACCATGCCCAGCTAATTTTTTGTATTTTTGGTAGAGACGGAGTTTCACCATGTTGACCAGGATGGTCTCGATCTCTTGACCTCGTGATCCACCCGCCTCGGCCTCCCAAAGTGCTGGGATTACAGGCTTGAGCCACCGCGCCCGGCCCAATGACATCATTTTTTAACTATTTTAGAAGGAACAAAAGAAGTTTTCAGCTTCCTAGTCATATCTTCAGGCTGTTACTTTCTAGAAACCCACCACTACAAACATCCAGTAAAATGCAAAAGAGGTAGAGATTATATTAAGATGACTTTGTAAAATGAAATTAATACAGTATTTTTCACTATCAATAAATCTATCAAATATTAGTAAGAACCACTTGAAGAAATTCACAACTGTGTGCTCACCCAACAAGCAAGACACAAGACCCTTACTTCCCCCATCAATGACTTTTAATAATATTTCAAATTGGAGTTTAAGTTAGAACCAGGGCGTTATATGTGTTATTTTTACAAATTTAAATAATGCTTTATTACTTTACAACAAATTAAGAGTTGTAGTTTAAGCCAAAACAACTTTATTTGTAAACAACACTCTCAAAAGACTGCAGTGCGCTAAAATAAAGCTATGATGAAAACTCCGTTTTATGTTATGGATTCAACCTGTGAAGTAGGTCTGCTGTTATCTCATTTATAGAGATAATGAAACTGAGGCACAAAGCTGTTGAATAACTTAGTCAAGGTCATATGAATAGTAAGTGGCTGAGCTAGCCTATATGATTCTGCTAAAACAGAGTTCATAAAACCTTTAACATTCACAAGATACTTTCATTCTTCAAAAATTCCAATATATCTCCATGTCCCATACGGTAAAAAAAAAAAAAAAGAATTCCAACAGTCAAAGCCTAACAAAAGGTGAGATTTTTAACTTATCTTTGCAGTATTTATAAGACTGTATGACTTTCCATGAAAAGAATTATACATATGTATTCCTGAAAAGCTTGTAATTCAAGTGTACTTAAATTAACAGATGACCAAAACAGGAAGCAACTAATTCCCAGGACCACATGTCAAAACAGGATTCCGGCATTACAGCAGTTCTTAACGTGTAGGTTATGGAGTACTAAGAGTCTCCAAGACTCAGGAAGTACACAATCATACTATTTTGTATTTTCCTAGCACTAAGATATAGTTAGTTATAATATTATCATCAGGCTTTTCTCTGTATCAACATTTAACACACTCAGTGGTGCAAAAGTAATGGCTGGGAAAGTCCCAGTGCTTTAGCACAATCCAAGGGACTTGTGCCCAATTTTTACTAGTAACCACTGCATTTGTGACATGCATCAAACTGTGGTTTAAAACTATGAATACCTGAATGAAGCAGTAAAAGTTAATTTTATTAAATTTCTCTCCATGGGTACATGCTTTTTTTCATGTCCTTCCCAATAAAACAGGATTTGTCCATAAAGCACTTCTGCGCATTCTGAAGTAGGATGGTTATTTTAAGAATAAGCATTCATGATTGGGGTGCATGCTGAATGAACTACTTTTTTCATGGAACAAGATTTTTACATGAGACACTATAATTATTGGCTTGAGTATTTGGCAGGCATTTTCTATGAGATCAATATGAAGAAATGTAACCTTTTAATTTTGTAGAATAAATACATTAACATTTGGACAATCTGCTTAGGTCAATGCATCAGTTTCTGATTGGTACATGACACTACAAAATCATGCATGGGTAAAAGATCTATCCAAAATTCAAAGCAGCCCAGTGGATTTCCCTTTTTTTTTTTTTTTTTTTTTTTGAGACAAGAGTCTCACTCTGTTGCCCAGGCTGGAGTGAAATGGCATAATCTCAGCTCCTGCAGCCTCTGCCTCCTGGATTCAAGCAATCCTCCTGCTTCAGCCTCCAGAGTAGCTGGGACTATAGGCACATACCAACACTCCCAGATAATTTTTGTGTTTTTTTGTAGAAATGTGGTTTCACCATGTTGCCCAGACTGATCTTGAACTCCTGAGCTCAAGCGATCCGTCTTCCTCAGCCTCCCCAAGTGTTGGGATTACAGGTGTAACCCACCATGCCCAGCCAGCCCAATTAATTTCTATGTAAGAGTACTTTTAAGTTTTACAGTAGTATCAAAAAATATCCACAATTATATTTAAAGGTTATTAACATACTCCTCCCTTATCACTTTTCCATATAAAGGCAGGTTTTCTTTGATGCATTTTAATCAAAAAGCTTTCTGCAATAGATGGAATGCAAAAGCAAATGTGGGAAGTCAACCATTTTTTATAGAGAAAAACAAATTTACAAAACATAAAACAATACCATTCTTCCCACTACACTGAAGGTGAACATTAAAAACATTTGCAAAAATGTACAAGAAAGCAACTCTTAACTCTGTAACATTTTCTCTAAAACTCACTTTCGTTTATACTACGGTAAATACTGATACAATCCTTTAGCACACTTTGAAGCCCTCAATGATGTGGAAAATTAAAGAAATATGGAAGCCAAAATGTTTCAGAAGTACTATTTTTAAAGTCCAGTCAATATTTCTTTCATGAAAATATAAAAAACAGAAAGCTTGCACTAAGTAAGGTAAATCAACCTACCAAATATTTTCCAAAGCCTAGTAAACATGCCACTACTGGCACATGACACTTTTTGTGCAGAACATGGATATTTCTCCTTTAATATTTAATATTTAGGCTATCAAGATAGAAGGTGAGCATAACCATCCAAAATTTCAAAACCCCAAATACTCCAAAACCCAAAACTTTTTGAACATCAACACAATACCCAAAGTGGAAAATTCTACACCTGACCTCATGTAGTGGGTCTAAGTCAAAATTTAGGCAAAACTTTCACACACAAAATTATTATTTAAAATATTCTACTGAGTCAGGCATGGTGGTTCATGCCTATAACCCCAGCACTCTAGGAAGCTGAGATGCAAGAGCTGCTTGAGCCCAGGAATTCAAGATAAGCCTGTGCAACACAGTGAGACCCTCTTTAAAAAAATTTTTTTTTAAATTCTACGAAGTTACCTCAGGCTATGTGTATAAGACATACATGAAACATAAGTGAATTTCATATTTGGATCTGAGTCCCATCCCCAAGGTATCTCATTACCCATATGCAAACATTCCAAAAATACCAATATACTTCTAGTCCCAAGCATTTTAGGTAAGAGATACTCAACCTGTATTTTTATTTTTATTTATTTGTGTGTATGTGTGTGTGTGTGTGTGTGTGTGTCTGTGATCAATAACCTAATTTAAACGAATGACTTACACAGTACTCAGGTAAAGCTAAAGTGTAGTATGGCCACATAAACCAACTAGGTAAAAACTGCTTTAACTGTGTCAACTGGAACAACATTTAATGATCAATCAAAAGAGGTATTCATCTAACACTTTATCAGTACAAAGTCTTGTTTGAGTGAATGCAATCTTAATGGCCACAAACAATATTCTTTTCCAGGTCACAGTCAAAATTCTTTATTGATAAAGACCTCTCATGTTTAGCTCAAAAGAAGCTTTAAGAATTGTCTAGGAATCACCACATGCTATTTAGGTTCTGTGTCTCAAAAAAAAGAAAATGCTAAAATAATGTAGAACATTTAAGTCCACTAAAAAATATGTAATTTTAGAGAAAAATACAGTAAGTTCTGACAAATAACAGGATTCAGTCTTTTTAATCAATTAGGAATATTTAAATATTCCTAAAAATAAGTTCCCTAGAAAAAAATTACATTTAGCAATTGAAAACATTTCAGTGTGATCAAACTACATTCTGTTTTCTTTCACTAGAGAAGTTTACATAGAAGAACAATAAGGTAGTAATAACCAGTTAAACTTTCACGAGAAAGATTAAAACTGTTAGTAACCAGAAATATTAGCTAACAAACTGTAGACACAAAGAATGAAGCAAAAATCAATTACATAAAATATTCATAGGTATTTTTAAAAACCTCAAGAGATTAGGCCTCTTTGCCAAGAAAGTAGTAACTCATGAAGAAAGTATTAAGATAGTGAAGGGTGTATAAAAACAAATTAATCTTCTCTAATAAAAGTAAACTGGGTCAGACGTGGTAGCTCACACCTGTAATCCCAGCACTTTGGGAGGCTCAGGTGGGCTGATCACTTGAAGTCAGAATTTCAAGACTGGCCTGGCCAACATGGTGAAACCCCATCTCTACTAAAAATACAAAAAAAGTAAAGCCAAGCACAGTAACTCATGCCTGTAATCCCAGCACTTTGGGAGGCCGAGGCAGGTAGATCACGAGGTCAAGAGATCGAGACCATCCTGGTCAACATGGTGAAACCCCGTCTCTACTAAAAATACAAAAAAAAAAAATTAACTGGGCATGGTGGCGCATGCCTGTAATCCCAGCTACTCAGGAGGCTGAGGCAGGAGAATTGCCTGAACCCAGGAGGCAGAGGTTGCGGTGAGCTGAAACCGCGCCATTGCACTCCAGCCTGGGTAACAAGAGCGAAACTCCGTCTCAAAACAAACAAACAAACAAAAAAATACAAAAAATTAGCCAGGTGTGGTAACGCATGCCTGTAATCCCAGCTACTCGGGAGGCTAAGGCAGTAGAATAAAGCTGGGCGCCATGGCTCAATAATCCCAGCATTTTGGGAGGCCAAGACGGGGAGATCATCTGAGGTCAGGAGTTCAAGACCAGCCTGGTCAACACGCTGAAACGCCATCTCTATTAAAAACACAAAAAATTTGTTGGGCCTGGTGGCGGGTGCCTGTAGCCCTAGCTACTCGGAAGGCTGAGGCAGGAGAATAGCTTGAACACAGGAGGAAGAGACTGCAATGAGCTGAGATTGCACCACTGCACTCCAGCCTGGGCAACATAGTGAAACTCCATCTCAAAAAAAAAAAAAAAAAGGTAGCCAGCTGTGGCAGTGCACACCTATAATTCCAGCTACTCAGAAGGCTGAGGCAGGAAAATCACTTGAACTCAGGAGGCAGAGGTTGCAGTGAGCCGAGATCGTGCCACTGCACTCCAGCCTGGGCAACAGAGGGAGACTCCGCTTTTTAAAAAAAAAAAAAAAGGTAAAAAAGGGTCAGGCATGGTGTAATCTCAGGGCTTTGGGGGATCAAGGCAAGATGTTCCCTTGAGGTCAGGAATTCAAAGTTATGGTGACCTATGATTGTGCCACCTGTGCTCCAGCCTGAGTGACAGAATCAGACCTCGCTCCAAAAAAAGTTTTTTAAGTTTTAAACTGAAGAGGAAAAAAATACACATTCCTATTGATACAACTCAATAGCATGTAAACTTTCCAACCTAACCAACAGTGAATGCTTGGAAAACTTAACATTTAAATTCAGGCAATTAAAAACAATAATTTCCAATACACTGTATTATTTGCTGCTAGTTAAGGAGGGGGTAAATAGTTTTAAAAAATAAGACTCTATGTATGTATGTATATATTTATACATACATACACATACCCAAAGGCGGGTTTTCTCCCCTTAATACATGCATTCCTAAATATCTTCACCCATGAATATCTGGGAAAATATTCCTCAGCTACATGATTATTAAAATGAAACTTCACATTGTATGTCATTGATAGAATTATAATTGCATTGACGGAACTGCAAATTAAAATGAGATAGCACTACAAAACCTATTAGAATGGTGACAATCTGAACACTGACAACAACAAATGCTGGCAAAGATGTGACGCAACAAGAACTTTAACTTATTGCTGAAGGGAATACAAATGGGTGTAACCATTTTGGTCATTTCTGATAAAATTAAACATACTCTTACCAACTGATACAGCAATATCACTCTTTGCTTTTTATCCAAAGGAGGCGTAAACTTATGTCTACGCAAAAACCTACACATGAATGTTTATAGCAGCTTGATTCATAATTGCTAAAACCTGGAAGCAACCAAGATGTTCTTTAGTAGGTGAATGGATGAACTGTGGTACAACCAGACAAAGTATTATTCAGGGCTAAAAAGAAATAAGCTATCAATCCATGAAAAGACATAGAGGAAACTTAAACACATATTGTTAGGTGACTAGAAGCCAATTTGAAGAGACTACATACTGTATGATTCCAACTACATGACATTCTAGAAAAGGCTAAACTATGGAGACAATAGAAGGTTCAGTGGTTGCCAAGGGTTAGGAGGAAGGGATAAAGAAGCAGAGCACAGAAGCTTTTAAGGGGGTGAAAATACTCTGTATGATCCTGTAATGGTAGGTTCATGTCATAGATTTGTCAAAACCCTCAGAATGTACACCCAGAGCAAATCTAAAGGTAAACCATAGACTTTGGTTGATAAGAACGTGTCAACATAGCTTCAGCAACTGGTTTCATCATTCTGGTAAAACATTTTGATAGTGGGAGAAGGTGTATGTATATGACACAGGATATATGGGAAATCTCTGTACCTTCCACACAATCTTGCTATGAATCTAAAGTTCCTTTGAAAAAGACTACTAAAATATTGAAACTTTAAAATGAATCCTTTTGAATAATCAATTACATTAAAAACAAACAAACAAAAAAAAGGCCGGGCACAGTGGCTCACACCTGTAATCCCGGCACTTTGAGGCTAAGGTGGGTAGATCACGAGGTCAGGAGTTCCAGACCAGCCTGGCCAAGATAGTGAAAAATAAAAATACGAAAACTAACTGGGCACACTGGCAGGAGTCTGTAATCCCTGCTACTTGGAAGGCTGAGACAGGAGAATTGCCTGAACCAGGGCGGCAGAGGTTGCGATGCCTCTACCAAGATGGAGCCACCATATTCCAACCTGGGAGACAGAGTCTGACACTGTCTCAAAAAAAAAAAAAAAAAAAAAAAAAAAAGATATAGTCTCACTCTGCTGCCAAGGTTAGACTTATACTCACTGGGCTCAACTGAGCCTCCTGCCTCAGGCTCCCACATAGCTAGGACTAAAATCATGCCACTACACCCAGCTAATTACATTTTAATTTATACTGCAAGGTTTAGTCATGAAACAAAAGTAGTTGTTACTTGTTAAATACTAAATTAGAAATAGAGGCAGTGACAAATAAAAGTAGGGGAATTTACTGTGTTCATTACTTGACATCTGCCTCTTAAAACAAATACATTCAACAGTGTATTTTAAAAGCGTGGTTCAGGTAATTGAGTAAATAAATTACTCTGATATTACTGTCAAATTCAACTGAATGTGTATCAAAATCAATGGCTGTTTTTTAATACATAGGGTGGCTCTCTAACCAAAGATCAATTAAACGTAAACACAATCTAGCATATATCACAGAAGGAAATATGTATTTTACATAAAATAATTGTTAAGGAAGCTTCTATTCAGCTGAGATTTTCTTTTAAGAGATGGACCTCTTGCTATGTTGCCGAAGCTGGCCTCGAATTACTGAACTCGACTGATCTTCCCACCTCAGCCTCCTAAGTAGCTGGGACTACAGGCGCACACCACTGCTCCTAAGAACTGTATTTATAATGCATACACCTGAGGGCATTTTTAAGATTATCATTTTCAACTGTCATTGTAAACTCACTCTAAAGAGGTGCTTTTAAAACCTAAAATTGATTACTAGTATTTAATTATTCTTCAAATTTAGTTATTTTACCCAGAAGTCCTAAAAAAAAAAAAAAAAAAAAAAAAGGAGCAAGGATATCAACTGTAAGACAAACAATGCCAGCAATAAAATCTTACCAAAACTCACATACCGGTGACTGGTCTGCATTTCTTGATCCATAACCTCTTTCTTATCCAATGCATTTCCTTACCAAAGTAAAACTATCACAACTGGCCAGGTCAAGGTATGAAAGATGAAACAAAACAAACAAATATAAGCTGCGCAAGCAGCAATTCCAAATTGGTCCCATCGACAGAAAAAAAGCAGAAAAGACGAAAACAAGGAATAGAAAGCCAATGCATGATGAGTTAGGTACATATTTTATACAGGAGAATACCCATTTCTGTTTGTGATACTAGGCATTAGCTAAGTCATCTTAATTTACCAGGGGCGTTGAAATTGTGATAAATACATATTTTCTTCTAAGTAGCTAGCTCAAAGCAACAGATTCAAATACACAGTCATTTTTTAAACATTTAAGTGATACCAAAATAAAAATCAAAGTTATTTAAAATTTGCAATTATAAAACAAACTACTGTAACAATAATATCAATTAGTTAAAATCAAATGTAGGAAAAACAATAATAAACCAAATGAAGATTTAAGAAAACTATGGTTCTGTGTCGCTTGTGCTGGAAAAAAAAAAAGAAAAAAGAAAACTATGGTAAACTTACAACCAGAAAAGCCAGGGTTTGATACATAGTGCACAATATAGTCTAAGATAACATTAAGAAAAGAAGCAAACTTACCCATAAAACTTTCAGTTACTTGAAATTTGTAAAAGCCTTTGAAAGTTTGTGATTATAATTATCAATCTAACTCAAATAACTGCATCTCATCAGAAGATGCTTACAAACCCAAGTTCCTATAGCCTACCTCTCATTAGTAGTTACTTAATGCTGAACATAGACAGACATTATCACTTTTTAGTTTTAGTACAAAGTTCTAACATTTGATACTATCCTCAATATGAAGTACAGACGATCTTAGATACTGACTAGCCTAAAATATACTTTACTGTCACTATGTAGAACAAGCACTGGTAAGGTGGCTCCAAATACGTTAAACAAGTCGCAAAGCAGAAGTAACAAGTTCGATTTTTATGCCTTCCTAGGATCTTGTTATTAATTCAAACTATTAAATGATTAAAATTATTACTTGTATTGCATATTAGACAATGCACAAGATATGTTTATATTAGTTAATCACGTCTATTTGCTGGTCTGGACTCTCCTCTTCTCCAATTGCTCAAAAAAAGGTTAACATTAGCAAAAAAAATCTTACCATTCTGAACCAAAAATTATTAGAAGAACTTACCATTTCAAATGAAAAGACATGAGGTATACCTACAACACAGCAGGAATAATAAACAAATCACATCATTTTATGAACACACGCGCGCGCGCACACACACACACACACACACACACACACATATACACACAAAAGTACCCCACAATAGTGCCAAGACTATTTAATGACAAGCTGAACATCCTCAGTAGAGAATTTCATTTTCTAAACTCCCAGAATGTTTGAGCTGTTTCTTTTAACATTAGTACTCTAAGTACTCAGAACCTAAAATCGTCCAACATTCTCCGTATCCTCTACAGTGCTCAGCACCATGTTTTGAATACAGGAAACAGTGAAAAAATTTTTCTTCCTAAATGGAAACCTCCCAGTCTTCCTGTAAGTCTAATACTCTGAAGTAAAAAGTTAGGTGTATTGAAAACCAAGCACAAAAAAAATTGTTTATTTGGCTGCTTTTAAAAATTACTCTTCATTATGTAATCACATATGAAGTCTATAAAAATATAACAGCAGTTGTACCTCAATGCTCCCTGAATTTTCCGAAGTACCAAATGTTTAATATCTGAGGCATACCTCAATGCTACCTGTATTTTCCGAAGTACCAGAGGTTTAATATCTGAGGCATTAATATTCAATAAATGTCAAGGTTTGGTGATCTATACAGACTGAAAACCGTAACTGAGCTGCACTGGTATTTGAAAAACAAGTCATCAAACAGCTAGTTAATTCTCTCAGCTTACATCTAAGTAACTATAACATGATAAACATAAAATTCTTGACCTCAAAATTAATTCAGAGAACACAGTGAGTAGACAACAAAGTTCAGGAAAAAAATTAGAATACAACTTGGTAAGTATTAAGAATAAATTATATTAAACATAGAAAGGACCAGGTGCAGTAGCTCACACCTGTAATCCCAGCACTTTGGAAGGCAGGGGCAGGAGGACTGCTTTTAGCCCAAGAGTTTGAGACTAGCCTTGGGAACACAGAGAGACACCATCTCTGCAAAAGAATATTTTTCTTTAGGAGGGGCTGGTGTCACACACCTGTAGTCCCAAATACATGGGAGGCTGAGACAAGAGAATCACTTGAGGCCAGGAGTTCAAGGTCACAGGGAGCTATGATCATGCCACTGTACTCCAGGCTGTGTGACACACCGAGAGCCTGTCTTAAAAAAATTTTCAGCTAGGTGCAGTGGCTCATGCCTGTTATCTCAGCACTTTGGGAAGCCGAGGCAGGTGGATCACCTGAGGAAAGCAGTTTGAGACCAGCCTGGCCGACATGGTAAAACCCTGTCTCTACTAAAAATACAAAAATTAGCTAGGCGTGGTGGCGGGCTCCTGTAATCCCAGCTATCTGGGAGGCTGAGGCAAGAGAATCACTTGAACCTGGGAGGCGGTGGTTGCAGTGAGCTGAGAACGCACCATTGTACTCCACCCTGAGTGACAAGAGTAAAACTCCATCCCAGGAAAAAAAAAAAAAATTCTGGCCATGCACAGTGGCTCATGCCTATAATGCCAGAACTTTGAGAGGCCAAGGCAGGTGGATCACTTGAGGTCAGGAGTTCAAGACCAGCCTGGCCAACATGGTGAAATCCCGTCTCTACTAAAAATACAAAAATTAGTTGGGTGTGCTGGCTCGCACCTGTAATCTCAGCTACTTGGGAGGCTGAGGCATGAGAATTGCTTGAACCCAGGAGGCGGAGGTTGCAGTGAGTTGAGATCACACCACTGCACTACAGTCTGGGCAACAGAGCGAGACTCCGTCTTTAAAAAAATTTTTCTTTTCAATTTTTTTTAATGAAAACGATCACAGTTGGGGTGAGGAATCAGAAGAAACACATGAGCTGAGTCTGAACAGATAGTCTCCAAAAGGAAAAAGGAAGACATGGTAATTTTTCTGGATTATGAACCTCTCTGAAACTCTAATGGAAGGTAAGACCAAAAAAAGTTAATCAATAAAATTAAGTGTCCTCTGACAAACTATGCATACAGTGTAAGAGATTCAGTAATCATTTCCAAGTAGTCATTCAGAAAAGATTTACAAATAGGAATGATAAAATAGAGAAAAGAAAACCAATACTCATAAGCATAGCATATGATTAGGCCAACCATATATCCTGGTTCACCTAAGAAAGCCCATTTTATGCCTGTTATAGTAAGTATTTTAAGAGAATCCATGTCCATTTGTCCCAGTTTAGATAAAAAAAGATACAGTTTCCCAAACACGATTAGATATTATTAAAACTATTAAATAATCCTTTTGAGGACTGATGAAATAATTCAACACCTGGTTAAAACTGACACATACCTTCAACCCAAATATCCCAAATCAGCAAAATCCTACAAATCACTTCCAAGAATATGTGTAAACATTATAAACTTACATAACTTTTTGTTTTTATTTGCTCACAAAAGTCTAAGTTACAATTATGTACCATGTCAAATACTGAGAAAAATCCTTGGCTTATAATAAATTATTTTAATAAGTAAAAACATTAACAACCCAAACTAGTCACAACTAGAACGCTACACATGAGACCACTGCAATAGCTGTGATCCATTTTGATTTTCACCAACATGTCCAAACCACTGGGACTGGGCCATCTTTATACCAGAAATAAACCTACCAGCCCAGCAGGTCATGCTTAAATCTGACACCAAATCCTTCAACAAATAATTTAGTTATTTCTGTAAGTTAATGAATAGGCCATAAAAATCCGTTGTAAAATATGTCTTTTGTTAGAATGCTTCAGGAGTTTAAACTTAAAAAAATGAATCTTCTAAAAAGCAACACAAATTACTTATTAGAGCTTTTAAAGATGTAGAAAAAGGGGGATGGCCATGTGGAAACCACAAAACTGTAACTCTTGCTCTGGAATTTTCAAAAACCATTTCAGAAAATAAATTTGTACCTATTCATTAGTAAATAACAATGGGATGATTCTTCTCTGACAGCATGAATTAACGGAATTTTTTTTTTTTTTTTTTTTTTAATAATGGTGCTCTACACATTCAGAAAAACTTCTCTAGTATTTTTTACTGGCTACAGTTTCTGTTTTTGGGTTTGACACATGGCACATCAGGGAAAGTTAGGTTACAAATAAATCAAGAGACTGATAAACGAACAAACAAAAACAATAAAATGCCCATGCAGGAGGCAGGAAAAGAGGCTGACTGGTTAAATAACAGGCCAAATTCAACAATACTGATCAAGACGGGTTAACATTTGAAAGAACAGTGCTTTATATCTCTACTGACTAGAACTGAAAAGATTTTTAAATCCCAGGTATCAGCTGCAGGGCAGTGACACTTTACCATTTCTTCCCATGACTTTTGCTCTGATTTATAACCATGACTACCAATCAACCTTCTGGACACTAATTTGGATTCCTCAGGAAACTTGGATCTGGTATATGAGATGCTGTGCTCAGTGAGCCTTCTAAAAACACTGGAAAAGAATATATAAATTAATAGATTTGCATTATTCTTCACAAGCTCTATGAATTTGGTTAACATGAGCCACTTTTTATAGATTCCCTCCAACTCTCAGATTGGCTCTAAATCAGAGGTCAGCAAACATTTCAGGTAAAGGGCATGATGTAAACATTTTTTAGACTTGGCAGGCCATATAGTCTTAATATAGTCCCATATAGTTGTGTCACAACTACTCAGATCAGTTTTTGCAGGGCAAAGAAGCCATAAACAAAACAAACCAACAAAAAAAGTGCTGCATTATAGTAAAATCTTATTTACAAAAATAGGAATGATGTGAACTGAGCCTGGTCTATTCTAGATGGATGAGACAATTAAAATTATTAGAACTATGCATGAAAAATTAATGCATAGTTCGAGATAATACGTCCTGCACATACAGTCTGAAAGCCCAAATCAAGGTTGCCACACCCAAATTGTGCAGGATACTATTCATATAGAATGTTGTCTTGTTTAAACCGTGTTCTAAAGATAAAGACGTAACCACATGTAGTGGTAGGCAACTACAGTACCACTATTCGGGAGGCTGAGATGGGAGGATATAGCTTCAGGAGGTCAAGACCAGCCTGGGTAACATAATCAATCAAAAGAAAGAAAAAAAGAAATAAAGAGGGTGCAGTGGCATGCCTACTGTCCCAGCTACTTGGGAGGCTGAGGCAGGAAGATTCATTTAAGCCCAGGAGTTTGAGGTTGTAGTGTGCTATGATCGCACTTGACAACAACCACTGCACTCCAGCCTGGGCAACACAGCAAGACACCATCAATAAATAAACAAACAGTGTTCTATATTAATCTTACACCATGTTTAACCACATCAAGTATGCCTTCCACTAACACTCACAGGACCCATGAAAAATTCAACTACCTGTACTCTCATTTCAATACGTGGTCAGTAGTTTTGAATCTTTGCTGACAAAAAGAAATAAAAGAGGTATAGAGATTTTTTTTTAATGTAGATCCCCTGGTACCAACCTAGACATACTGAATCAAAATATTTGTTGGACTGAATCTCAGAAATTTTTCCTTAAGTTCCACAAATACACTGCAAGGTTGAAAACTACTGGATTTAGCAAAAAATGTTATCAAATATCAATGTATTACAATCTACCTGGATCATAAAACAAATCAATTCCTAGTAGTATGATCTAGGAACCCACATTTTTTAAAAGCTCCTTGAGTGTTTATTATGCACCTTTGAAAAAACACTGTTCTGCTGGGCACAGTGGAATGTGCTTGTTGTCCCAGCTACTCAGGAGGATGAGGAGGAGAATTGCTTGAGCCCAAGCTGGGCAACATATCAAGACCCCATCTCTAAAAGAAAAAAAAAATTATTACACTGTCATTGGAAGAGGCACTAAACTGTTAGCCTCTGCCAACATACCCTTAATCGTTCTGGCCTCACAGTCCCTCGGATGCTACAATGGAACACCTCTGACAAGTAAAGAAATACAACTGATTCAAACTGTTGCCTTAGCATGTAATATACCTTTATTTTCAAGTTTATTATGTGTGTTGAATAAACTGTGTTGAAGTATCCAGGCCTATTCCCAACTACTGAAATGGGACCAAAATAAGCTTTAATATCAAGTCAGGTATGTATTTAGTTAAATGAGCAAAATCTGAAAAGGGTGTGAAGAATTATTATTTTCTTTATTGAAAAAGCAAAGAGTAGCTCATGCCTATAATCCCAGCACTTTGGGAGGCAGAGATGGGCAAATCATGAGGTCAAGAGATGAAGATCATCCTGGCCAATATGATGAAACCCCATCTCTGCTAAAAATACAAAAATTAGCTGGGCATGGGGGCACGCCACTGTAGTCCCAGCTACTCAGGAGGCTGAGGTAGGAGAATCACTTGAACCCAGGAGGCGGAGGTTGCAGTGAGCCCAGAGCGCATCACTGTGCTCCAGCCCGGCAACAAAGCGAGACTCCATCTCAAAAAATTAAAAAAAGAAAAGAAAAAGCAAACATTAATATGTACCATACAAGAAAACAAAGCTTCTCAGATTTTAAAATTAAGTAACATATAATTTAAATAAACATCACCCCAATTTTCCTAACCCAAGTATTTCATAACTACATGATACAATAACTAAAGCTAAATAAAATAGGATGGATGTTTGGATATTTTTATGGCATTAACATTTTCCCAAGAAGCAATGTTTACTCCAAGAAACTGCATCAACAAAATACTAAAACTAATATCTATCATATACTCCAATGCAAATTTTTCCCACAAAAAAAAAAAAAAGACTGGTACATTGTAGCACTTAAGCGTTTACACTACTTAATCTACAGTTGGTGGAGTAACCTAATATGAAAACAATCACAAGACAGTTATAAAACAATCTCATAAAATGCTTGTTGCTTCCAGAATAACAGCTTTTAATGTGTCCAAAAGTCATGCTATGTAGAAAATTTCCACTTAGATAAACCTTAATGCAATTAAGACATATTATAAAAATGTATACATTCTTAAGGCAGTTGAATGTTACCCTACATGAGTGAAAAATATTCTTTAATTTATAGTTACAACAGCAATTATCAAAAAGTTTGTCTAAGGAAAATGATATTGATGAAGTACTAGCTTATACCCTTGAAACTCTTAAAAATATATTCTCATGTGTCATAAAATTACGATCAACTTGAAGGATGACAAAGAAAAACATGAACAGATATGACAAGTGTTTTCCCTCATTCTTTGTTATGTGAAATTACTATTTAAAATGTGAAATACATAAATCAATATTTACTTTATACTTAAAAGCCCCATAACTCTTAGTTGTGTTGGAATATTTCTCTTAGGAAGATAAGAAGGGAGAGGTAGCATCTTAAAACTAACGAAGAAAATAAACTTTACTCATTACTTGGACAAGCTGAACACTTACCATTTGATTCCTCCCTTTAAACTGAACAGTGAAATAAGAGAAAGCACATAAGAGGGCCTAATTGCAAAGCTTAAAAAAAAAATACACATACACACACAGCATTAAAATTGTTTAACAATTTTCTCCAAAGACAGTTTTCAAAGTAAATGAAGAATAACTGATAGAAAGGCCTCAATGCATTCTTAACATAATGTTTTTCTATTAATATATTTCTATTAACACAAAATATTTGAGACAGGTAGAGCTTTCATTCATATTGCTTTTAGTGCTTGATAAGTTTATAGTAACAAGAAGCATTGTGAAGCTTGGAACCAAATAAAACTGACACCAAAGTAATAAAAATCTTGTGCCAATTCATAAAATTTCTAATCACAAAAAAAGCTAACACTAGTCATTGTTATACAATTATCATACCTTATTTATATACTATTCAAAATATGGATAATCCAAAGGTTAAAAGCATAGTAACTTGTGGTCTACCTACCATAAATACTAATTTTAAAATTAAAAAAAAAAAAAAAAAAATCACAAATATTTCAGCCCAGGTTTCCACAGACTCTATAAAAACGTCAGAAAGCAAATATTTTGAGCTGTTGTGGGTCACAATCATTTCTAATATTCTTCTTTTTTTGCAATAACCCTTTAAAAACATAAATACCATCAATATATCTGTGATGGAGTAATAAAAAAACTGGCAATGGTCCCAGACTATAGCTTGTCAACTTACACTCTAGCCAAATTAATTTTATCATGATGCTTCAAGTATGCAATACACACTTTAAGAAACTACTAGAAAAGAAGGTATATTGTCACAAATCCTTTTCTATGAGCATAATCTTGTGAAACAACAGATGATCTATTTTAGAAATGTCGGCTAGGCACAGTGGCTCATGCCTGTAATCCCAGCACTTTGGGAGACAAAAGTGGGTAGATCACAAGGTCAGGAGTTCAAGACCAGCCTGGCAAACATACTGAAATCCCATCTCTACTAAAAATACAAAATTAGCTGGGTGTGGTGGCGGACACCTGTAATCCCAGCTACTCGGGAGGCTGAGGTAGGAAAATTGCTTGAACCCAGGAGGCAGAGGTTGCAATGAGTGGAGATCATGCCATTGCACTCCAACCTGGACAACAAGAGCGAAACTGTCTCAAAAAAAAAAAAAAAGAAAAAGAAAAAAGAAACATCGATAAACTCAATTAGTATGTTTAAATTTCTAATTCATTTTTTCTCAAAGTTCATTAGATATTTGTATCATTTTGCCCACCATTAAAATAAATTTTAAACGCAAAAATGTTTTAAAGAAAAAAATTTTAGTAATTCAATTTTAAATTATAAAAATGTTTCCAAATATTTAAGACAGGAAAGTAAAGTTAAAACTGTCTGCTGTCATGTAATCCCAGCACTTTGGGAGGCAGGAGTTCAATGCCAGCCTGGGCAACATGGTGAAACCCCATCTCTACTAAAAATACAAAAATTAGACAGGCATAGTGGTGCATATCTATAATCCCAGCTACTCAGGAGGCTGAGGCAGAAGAATCACTTGAACCCAGGGTTGCAGTGAGCCAAGATTGCACCACTGCACTCCAGCCTGGATGACAGAGCGAGACTCTCTCAAACAAATAAAATAAATAAATTTTAAGCTGGACACGGTGGTTCACGCCTGTAATCCCAGCACTTTGGGAGGCTGAGGCAGGCAGATCATCAGGTCAAGATACCAAGACCATCCTGACCAACATGGTGAACACCCATCTCTACTAAAAATACAAAAATTAGCTAGGCATAGTGGTACACACCTATAGTCCCAGCCACTTGGGAAACTGAGGCAGGAGAATCACTTGAACCCAGGAGGCTGAGGCTGCAGTGAGCCAGGATTGCGCCACTGCACTCCTGCCTGGTGACAGAGCAAGACTCAAGTCTCAAAACAGAAAAAAATAAAATAAATGTTAACATTTGAACTAGCCTTGTGTGCCCCGCCATCCTACACCCAAAGTAAAAACCTGGATCAGGTCAAGTCTTCTGAGCTAGTGCCAGTCTGCAGGAAATTCAGGTATAGAGAAACATGTTAAACATCACTGCAAGAATGTAATCAGCAAAATCCAGGACACAGATATCATTTTAGGTTTCTTTTTTTTTTTTTTTGCTTAAATGGACCACGCATGGTGGCTCATGCCTATAATCCAAGCACTTTGGGAGGCTGAGGCGAGTGGATCACTTGAGGTCAGGAGTTTGAGATCAGCTTGGTCAACATGGTGAAACCCCATCTCTACTAAAAATACAGCAATTAGCAGGGCATTGTGGCGGGGACCTGTAATCCCAGCTACTCAGGAGGCTGAGACAGGAGAATTGCTTAAACCTGGGAGGCAGAGGTTGCAGTGAGCCAAGATCACGCCACTGCACTTCAGCCTGCATGACAGAGCATGACTCTGTCTCAAAAAAGAAAAAACAGAGAAGAAAACTGTTAAGTAAAAAATTAAAGACAAGAAGAGGAAACCTATAGACTAAAAGAGCCTGGATATATTAACCAATTCAAAGAAACCAAATGTAAAAAAAAAAAAAAAAAAAAATTTAAGACCTGTGCAAATCTGGGCTTTCATTAATTAAAATGAAAAAACTGACCATTTTTAAGATATAATAAAGATATTTAAAAGGAGTCCTCATCTTCTAGAGATACAAACTGAAAATAATAAAATTATATGAAGTCAGGTATTTCAAATAAAATAAATTGTGAAATAAAGTGGTTATACTTAAAGATGAAAAGTGTTATGGCTGGATGATAAGCACACACTAGAATCCTTTTGTACATGTCTGAAATCTTCCAAAATAAAGATGTTTTGATAATAATATATGGTGACAATCACTCAAGTGGAAATTATGTATATGTCAAGATTCCTAATTTAATAGTATATATTTTTAAAGATCAACTAAAATAATAGAACAAATATAACATCCATTTCACAAAACATAAATATTATCTTCAGAAACTAATTTTACTTTACCACCCATAAGAGGTTAAGAAAATCACTAATTTATCAAACATGATAAATTTAGAAAGATTAGAAAATAGACTACTGTATAAACCAAAATCTGAAGAATTCTAAATATACATCATAAACCTAAAAATACAAAATCATTTTAGTTAACTAGTAGTTTACTTACATTTTCCATGTAGTTTGGCTTAAAGCCCTCTTGCTGTCGCCTCAGTTCCTCCTGCTCTCTGTGTCGGATCATTTCTTCCTCACGCCGCCGATGCTCCTCTTCATGTCTGAAAATTTTTTAAATAAAAATTTCAGCACCATGACACATGAGCTGCCATTGGGCATTTTATTTCATGTAAAATAAAATCATTTATGCAATCACATTATGCCAAAGCTGTATTAATGACTGGCTATGACATCCTAAATTTACCTTCCTTCTATGTTGCTCCAAGCCTTTAATAAAGCAAATAAGCCAAAGAAATAAAGTAACTTAGCTAAGATAAACCAGAAACACAAAGTAAAATCATAACTAGGACAGTTATTTGCTTATATTTTAAAAACTGCTTATATTTTTTAAAAAGCTCAAACACGTACTCTTTTACTGTAAAAAGGAAAAAGTCAGCCAAGAGCAGTGGCTCACGCCTATAATCCCAGCACTTTGGGGGGCTGAGGTGGCTGGATCACAAGGTCAGGAGTTCGAGACCAGCCTGCCCAATGTGGTGAAGCCCCATTTCTACTAAAAATACAAAAAATTAGCTGGGCATGGTGGCAGACCTGTAGTCCCAGCTTCTCGGAAGGCTGAGACAGGAGAATTGCTTGAACCCAGGGAGCAGAGGCTGCAGTGAGCCGAGACGGCACCACTGCACTCCAGCCTGGGCAACAGAGCAAGATTCCATCACAAAAAAAATAAACAAACAAAAAGGAAAAAGTCTCAGCTAGCCATGGTGGTTTACACCTTTAATCCCAGCACTTTGGGAGGTCAAGGTGGGCAGATCACCTGAGTTTGGGAATTCAAGACCAACCTGGCCAACATGGTGAAACCCCCATCTCTACTAAAAATACACAACTTAGCCAGGTGTTTTATAATCCCAGCTACTTGAGAGGCTGAGGCACAAGAATCACTTGAACTCAGGAGGCAGAGGTTGCAGTGAGCCAAGATCACGCCACTGCACTCCAGCCCGGGTAACAGCGAGACCCTGTCTCAAAAAAAAAAAAAAAAAAAGGAAAAAGTATGAGATCTATTGATCCATTGCTGGCATTGCATGGTCCTTAAAAGCACTCTAAACATACCTAGAGATAAGCCACCTCAAAAAACCACAATGCCTAAACAAAAATCCCATTTGCAAAAGGAAGCCCTACCAACTCCTCTCTCCCCCATTTTCATCAACCCTCTAAAAGAAATCCCCTGAAGCAGGTGTCAGCCCACAATCTGTTTTTAGAAATAAGTTTTATAGCATAATCATTTATATTACTGTCTATGGTTACTTTGGGACTAAAGCAGTGAAGAGTTGAGACAGAAATGATATAACCTGCAAAGCCTGAAATATTTAATATCTAGTTCCAGGAAAAGGTTGCCGACTCCTGCACTACAGGTCTGTTCAAAGAAAAATCACTACCTACATATAGCAGGATTACAATTAAATCAGTAATTAAGTTATAAATGGGTAAGGGGAAAAAACCTATACAGTAATACTTAAGTAACACACTCACATTATATTGGCATTTAAACCAATGCAAATTCAAATATACACAGGTTGAGTTTCCCTAATCCAAAAATCTGAAAGCATTTTTGAAACTTTCTAAATCTAAAATGCTCCAAAATCTGATTTTTTTATTTTTTATTTATTTATTTATTTATTTATTTTTGAGAGAGGGTCTTACTCTGTCACTCAAGCTGGAGTGCAGTGTTCCAATCTCAGCTTGACTCACTGCAGCCTTGACCTCCCAGGTTCTAGCAATCCTCTAACCTTAGCCTCTCAAGCAGTTGGGACTATCGGCACGCACTACTACGTCCAGCTAATTTTTTGTACTTTTGTAGAGAAAAGGTCTTGCCATGTTGCCCAGGCTGGTCTTAAACTCCTGGGCTCAAGCAGTCTGCCAGCCTCAATCTCCCACAGTGTTGGGATTACAGGCATGATTGAGCCACCACCATGCCCTGCCTGGAACTTCCTGACAGCCAACATGATGTTTAAAAAAAGCGCTCATCACAGTATTTCAGATTTTGGATGCTCACCTGGTAAACATAATACAAATACAGAAAATGTGAAAAAATCCAAATTACTTCTTCTGGTCTTAAATATTTCCCATAACGGATACTCAAAGTGTACACCCTCTAACAATAAAACTGTAATAGTAATTTAAATAGTGAAGGCTACATAAAGCTAATGCCCCTTTATTAGGTATCATTTTCCAGATTACTCTTATAATGTACTTTTTCTACATTCAGAATTGCAAATTCTCAAATTTCAGGATACTTTGTTCTTGTTTGTTGCCCAACACTCCCCCTAAATGTGAGTGCACTAACTAAAACATATGGAGATTTCTTCTACCATCACAGAAAAAAAGTTGAGGCCTTCATGTCAGACTATATGAACAAAAATGTTCCTAAGAGATTTCAAGCAAAATCTGGACTATTTTAAGAGTGTTGTCATGCTCTCTAAAATATAACTCTTATTACAATCCTTAAAAAAATCTTCAAGGCCGGGCGCGGTGGCTCACGCTTGTAATCCCAGCACTTTGGGAGGCCGAGGTGGGTGGATCACGAGGTCAAGAGATCGAGACCATCCTGGTCAACATGGTGAAACCCCGTCTCTACTAAAACTACAAAAAATTAGCTGGGCATGGTGGCGCGTGCCTGTAATCCCAGCTACTCAGGAGGCTGAGGCAGGAGAATTGCCTGAACCCAGGAGGCGGAGGTTGTGGTGAGCCGAGATCACGCCATTGCACTCCAGCCTGGGTAACAAGAGCGAAACTCCGTCTCCCAAAAAAAAAAAAAAAAAAATTTTCAATTAAATTGGTTATTTAATTTCTGAAATATAAAAAAATTTCACATATTTTACTGTGAAGAAAATACTTCACATTCATTGGGGTGGGTGGGGATGGGAAGATCCAATAAAGACAAATGTGTTGAAATTGTTTTTCTCATTTTAAAAAGGGTCAATATAATCATACTAATAATACTTACAAAAAGGATCAATATACTAATAATATACTAATACTATTTATATGCTCAGTGGGATCTGGGGCACCCCATGATCAACCACATTAATATTTCTGCAGTAAGATGAAACGTTCGCACTCTGGAGATTATAAGTTTTCACATAACAGGAGTTCAGATCAAGCTTTGCCATCAAATAGACTCATGTCAGACTGCCACTTGAATATGGATGCATAGAAACACTTCTAGTCTCAAACCTTCCAAATTGCAAAGACAGTATTGTAGACACAGTGACCTTCTTGGGGACCAACTTCTACCACATAATTTTAAATGTACAAACCCATTTCCAGTAAACAGAAATATATGTACCACTGTGCAGGGACATATGTAAACACAGATATATACTGTGGCAATATTTATAAAACCAAAAAGCTAAGGACATACTAATCAGTTATAAATGGGAGAAAAGGTTCACTGACACCAAGGAACTCATCTGGTACAGAGGTAGATTTCTATCTACCGGCATGAAAGAATGTCTACAACGCAAATGTCAGGAAAAAAGGCACAGAAAAGAATGGTATTCCTATTAATGCTTTTACAAATCATTTTTATGGCCAGACCTGGTGGCTTACACCTGTAATCCCAGCACTTTCAGAGGCAGAGGCAAAAGGAAAGGTGGGAGAATTGCTTGAGCCCATAAATTTGAGATCAGGCTAGGCAACATAGTGAGAGCCTCTCTCCACAAAAAAGAGAAATAGGGGCAGGTACAGTGGCTCATGTTTGTAATCCTAGCACTTTGGGAAGCCGAGATGGGAAGATCACTTGGGTCAGAAGTTCAAGACCAGCCTGGCCTACATGGTGAAATCCTGTCTCTACTAAAAAGACAAAAATGAGTCAGGTGTGGTGGCACCTGTAATCCCCGCATCTCAGGAGGCTTAGACAGGATAATCGCTTAAACCCAAGAGGCAGAGGTTGCAGTGAGCCAAGACTGAGCCACTGCACTCCAGCCTCAGCAACAGAGCAAGACTCCATCTCAAAAAACAACAACAACAAAAAAAGATTAGCCAAGCCTGGTGGCACACACTTGTAGTCCCTGCTACTAGAAAGGCTAAGGTAGGAAGATCGCCTGAGCCCCGGAAGTTGAGATAGCAGGGAGCCGTGATCACATCACTGCACTCCGTTATAGGTGATAAAGTGAGATTCGGTCTAAAAAATAAAATAAAAATCATTTTTATAACCATAGAAGAGGGTATTAAAAAGTCTATACCACACTGGAAATGATTAGGGGAAGAGAAGCATTGCCTTTGTGATCATACCACACAGATGATTCTATAATCTAAATTTAATAACAGTATACAGACACATTCATATTGTCCATATGTTTGCCTTCGATTATTTCTACTCCACAAGATGACCACCTTATAATCACATAAATTACCTCTTCAGGTCAAGGATTACTTCCTAGGTTATACTCACAAATGGAACTACTAAAAAGAGGAGAACTAATAATTATGACAAATGTTAACATCCTTCACATTACATTTAATTGAAAAGTAATAAAATTTCAATTTTACAATGTGTTTTGAGGCCCATTAATTATTTTGAGGTCTCAAATATTTTTGCAGGATTCTGCAAAGTGCCTCGTGGATAAAATCTCCTTGCTGTTCTCGTTTGGCACTATGGCTCCACATCCATCACAGAGCCCAAGAGATCAGAAGGACTTTATAATAATTTGCTGAACGACTTAAGAAAGGAAGTAGGGGCCAGGCACAGTGGCTCATGCTTGTAATCCCAGCACTTTGGAGGCCAAGTCAGGAGGATCACCTGAGGTCAGGAGTTTGAGACCAGCCTGGCAATCATGGTTAGGGTTAAGGTGAAACCCCGTCTCTACTAAAAATACAAAAATTAACCAGGTGAGGTGGCAGGCGCCTGTAATCCCAGCTACTTGGGAGGCTGAGACAGGAAAATCACTTGAACCCGGGTGGCAGAGGTTGCAGTGGGGCAAGATCACGCCACTGCACTCCAGCTTTGGTGACACAGCAAGACTCCATCTCAAAAAAAAAAATTAGCCAGGCATGGTGGTGGCCGCCTGTAATCCAAACTACTCAGGAGACTGAGGCAGGAGAAATC